TCACATAACTGGATATACACAGGAGATGGCTCACATAACTGGATATATCACACGAGATGGCTCACATAACTGGCTCCCATTACTGTCTGAAATTCTGAAAAACTCAATTCTGAAGATTCCTGGTTCCAAAGATTTTTCCATACAGGGCCATGAACCTGTCTGACACATTAGGTAACACTAAACTATGAACTGAGCAGATTTGACCAAGAAACAGAGTTATAAAATAAAACCCCAAAGAAAACATAGTAGAGGTCTTATGAAACCAGCAAAGCCTACCATTTGCTGCTATTTATAACTGACGACCTTGACAAATGAGACAACTTGAAATCAAATGGATATTTACAAACTTCCTATGAGAATATGAGAATGTGGCTCAAGAAAATTTGCAATGTCCACTGCTTGTGCTCGCTTTGGCAGCACATATACTAAAATTGGAACAATACAGAGAAGATTAGCACTGTCCAATGCTAACACAGGAAGTCACCCAGTGAAAGCATTTAGCTTCATGAATGCGTAACTCGCACCAGTTAAAGGGCTTCATTTGACTAGTGGACGACTGCCTCTACATGGAAAGAGGAAACCTAACAGTTCGATAAGTAATTTTTGCTGGGTAGTGGTAGTTTATACCTTTAATCCCAATACTCAGGAGGCAGAGGCTGGTAGATCCCTGTGAGTATGAGGCCACTCACTACATAGTGAGTTCTAAGACAGCCAGAGCGATATAAAGAAACCCTGTCTCAAAAAAAAAAAAAATTCTTGTTCTTAGAGAGGAATCCAATTTTGCCTCCTAAATCAACTACCCATTTGCTTATCAGTAAGATATTACAAACTCAGATATCTGGATTTCACTGCTGTCTTCCCTTCTATGTTTCTAACTTAATACTTCAGGATTTTAGGATGTAAACAAAACAAGCACATATTCCCGTAAGAATAACACTGAAGATCTAGTGCCTTCACTGTAGAACTGAAGGCACAGCGACCTGGCCCAAGAACACGGTGACTCACCAGCAGAGCACACACTCAGGAGGTTTCTCAAGAGAATGTTTGTCCTAGTAGTTTGTTGGAAGGAAATCTTGGTAAGTGAACAAACAAAACCAGAATTCCTTTTGTGCTGTGGGTGAACGAAGTGCCCTGTCTCATCTTTATTTCCAGTGGATGGGCCACCAATAGAGTTTAACATTTATAGGAGTATCGCATTCCTTAGCATTATCATGAAGGAGTACAGGGTAAAATAATGTGTGAAGGGAAGTGTAAGAAAACAGTGAAAATGATAGGAAGGAAACTGTAGTTGGCTCAGGATCACTCTACACAGGCCCAAAAGCACCTGCAATTCTTCAGTGTTGTGGTTCTGTCACCCTGTATACAGAACTCTTCAGGTTACTTTTCCTATACTGTGTACATGATTTATTTACTGCAGTGGTCAAAGTCACTAGAATAAATGCCAATATGGCCTAGAAACTGAATTACACGGACATTTCTAATCTTTAGTACTGTATGTATCCAGTCTTAATTTCAGGGGCTGAAGATAGAGTCTAATCTTAAGCAGAATTCTTATGTAGGATATGGAAGGCCCTGGGTCCAATCTACAGACAGAAAGGCACGTGGACATGGGGACAGACATGTGCACATACATGCGCGCGCACACACACACATACACACACACACGCGCACTCATGACCTTAGGGTAAACTGTCTTATGCTACCTCCAGACTACAGATATAAATGAGATAGTAAATATTCTAGGGTAAGAAGCTATCTGAAAGTGAGTAGGTGACTCAGAGGCAGTTTAGAAACATACTAAAGTCTTTGCCTCTTAAATCTGTGCCCCATTGGTATTATCAACTGATAACTGGTACTATCAATTAGTACATTCTGATTATATAAGGGGGCGGAGAACAGATGTTACCAAAGCCTAGATTATTAGACATGAAAAAATAACTCCAAAACAAAAGCTAGTATATCATAATCTTGTTAACTGAAGTCTAACTCTACTGTTCCCCAAAAAGTGTTAGGTTTAAAATTTCTCAAGAGCCTTCAACAATTGCTTTAAAAAGTTTCAGGTGAATTTTGCACTATTCTAGATTAAAAAAGGAAGAAGAAGAAGAACCTAGACTTGGCAAAGTGGTGCACAGCTTTAACCCCAGCACTTAGGAGTTAGGGGCAGGTAGATAACTGTGAGTTTGAGCCCAGCCCTGGTCTACATAGTAAGGTACAGGACAGCAAGAGCTACATAGTGGGGCTCTGTCTTGGAAAAAAAAAATTAACAAAACAAAAATCTATCTGGTGCTAGAAAGTTTACTTATGGAATTCCCTGCAAAAGTATTTTGAAAGTCCAAATCTATACTTTAATATAATATATTCTTGGCTATCGACTGCTAACTCATGCTATAGAATCTGTACAGGCTTTAAAGACTGTCCTTGCTAGTTTGGTCACCAATGTAGGATTATGATAATGAAAGCACAGTACTTTCTTTTACCTTATATATATATTTAAAAATAATTTTTCTTTCTAAGTTTTCCAGATTTATAATACTATATTTTATATGGTGACTAAGGAGTTAAGGACCAAGAAATTAAAGGCTTAAAAAATAATCTCAGTTTCTAATCATATACCTTTTTACATGTTGTAGGTCTTATGTTAGCATGCTATAGACTACAGGCAGTTGTAAATTTTTATTTTTAGTTACTTTCCTCCAATTGCCAACATACTCAATAATTTATTGAAAACACTATTTTACATTTTTATTATTTTGTGTGGATGTGTGTGTGCCTGTGTGTCACAACATGCAAACAGAAATTAGATGACAACTTGTGGGAACTTGGTTCCCGTCTCCCAACCGTGTGGATCCAGAGAGCACACTCAGGTTATCAGGCTCCAAGAGCGATGCCGTTACCTGCTGAGCTTCCTTGCTGGCCTATGTTGTCTTACGAAGTACCCATTCTACGACATGAGTGCTATTAGACCAAAGGGTCTTAACAAAAGACAATTCTATCCTCTGGGGATAGCTGGTTATCAAAATTGGGAACATGCTACTGGCATTTAATTCAGGGATGTTGTTAAATATCCTACAATGTAAAGGCTAGCTCTTAAAATCAAAAAACTACCCAGCCCCTAATGTTAATAGTGTTGCAGTTGAGAAACCTAGCCCTAGAAATATGTATTTGTAGAGTTAAGACAAGAAGGGCAAGAGCAGTTATTGTTAAGACTTGCTTATCTCACAGCCTTAGACTCCTGGATTGACAGTTTAAACATTTATTTTATTTTAAACTGGAGATTAACTCCTAGTAAGAATGAGATGTTAATTCCTTATGCTAGATGACAGACAAGTGTCCTATTTCCAAAACAAAACATACCTTTTTCACGTCTGTAAAATATCTTTCCTCTTGAAACATTTTGAGAAATTCACACATAACTGACTTTTTGGAACGAGACTGAAAAAACAAACACAGGATTTGTATATGTTAAATACGCACAGCTTCTTACACTCTAAGTTCTGACTCCACATGGGGTCCTGAAATACGAGTCCAGGAGGTTTCTGAAAGCACAGCAATAAGAACTAATTCAAAATCAAACGTCATGATTCTGAGGTATTTTTGGCAGTGTCACCTATGCTGCATGGTACCCCAACATTAGAGCTTCACCTATGCTCACACCACACTCATGTCTTATACTATGGATGCTAGCACATCACACATCACCAGCCACTGCTGTCTGGAAGACCTCAGCACACATCTGAGCTACTGTATTTAGGAACTGGGCTATTTTCTAGACATGAAGGCTTTTGCTCTAACAGAAACCTAACGGTTTAATTACAGAAAACAAAGACTTCCTGTATTTCCCCATGTCATTAGTCAGCATGTATCACAATAGTAGCTTTGGGCTTTATAACAATGTTTGATTAACTGCTTAAGTAGCTGACTTAAGTTATCTGTTTCACTAAACAAACTATCAAATCCCAAAACAAAACCCTAGAAAACATTAAGTAAATCTGGTATGAGTTTAGGACAGAGTTTCCAACAATTTTTAAAATGGTCTTAAATATACTTCTGCCATGTTTATGTGATATACTTTTTAAAAAACTGCATGAGAGCTCTAACTGCATGAAGGACTTTACGCCAGAAGAGGGCACCAGATCCCACAACAGGTGGTTGTGAGCCACCATGTGGTTGCTGATAATTAAACTCAGTGTCTCTGGAAGAGCAGCCAGTGCTCTTAACTGCTGAGCCATCTCTCCAGCCCCCTGCAATATACTTCTGTTCCATGTGTTTATGCAAACTGATTATAAAATCAAAATGTAATCAACTTCGAAAAACTATATCCTATAGTATCAAATATTTAACTAATATTTATGAAAACATAAACAAGAATATCCATCTTATTAGTATGCAAATTTGTTTTCTGTAATTAATAAATGGTATTAAAAATACAAAGAATTGGCCTAAAATATTTTTGACTAATATATAATGTAAATATGTACCAAAACACTACATATATAAATCTGCATTATTATTATATGACAAAAAAGAAAAATTTGATACAGATTTTGAAAATGTACTTACAAATGAGTGAACAAGGTTTAATTACCATACAACAAGGTAAAGAGACATCATTACTCACAAGCCTAAAGAGACAAGTAAGAAATGGGAATCCACCTGGTGTCGCCTGACAAGAGTTACCTTTAGTGACAGAACAGCCCACACATAGCAAGCTGACAAGGGAGACTAAGAAACAAACTCTCTGGCCTCACTCTTCTTCTACTTCCTCCACTGTGCCTCCACTGAGCAAACTTACCTGGAAGCCAGAGATAATAGGCTCTCTTAAGGCACAGAGCAGAACAAAGTAGGGATGGAGATCTGGATGGGCAGATGGAAACTATGCAGCCCAATTTCTAGTTTCTTTTTTGTTTAAAAACTAGCAGTTGTTAAAAATGGCCCACATTCCAGAATCACGTTCCTCCAGCCTTCAATAAATAACTCGGCACCAACACCACAACATCATTAAAGGCCAATATGACACATCACTAAAGGTCAACACAGGTTCTGTATCACCACTATGCACACGCTCCATACATCCCCTCCGCAGGAAAGCTCGTGCTATCATGGCCTGTGTTCTCTCCTCCTCTTTCTTATCCCTGATTTGATACCATGCTAGAAATCACCCAAATTTACAACAAAACAAGTAAATCTCTTGCATGAGGTCTGTGTGTGGTGTGATCTTTGATACCATGGCCCTCTGATACCAAAAAATACTTACACTGGTGCCAACAGGATATTCTGGTGCCTGCATTCCCCTTTGGGATCTGGGCTTCACTAGGAACTCTATCCCTTATCTTCTGTCCACCTGCAACAGACTCCCCGGCCTTCTGTCTATCACCCACAATTGGTAAGTGATCCCTCTTGGTCGGTGGTTGGTGTAACTGCTTCCTTGAGTCTCTGGTACTCTTGGAGGTGGAGGTACCCACCCTGCTCTAGACCCTTTCATTTGGGTGAGGCTTTGTTTCTGAGCTTGATTTTCACCTTTTAGCTTCATACGAAAGCCCCAGTATCAGGAACTGAGTCTCTTGGCCCTGATCTGTTGAGTGCGGTGATGACCCACTGAGAGAATGGCTTGTGTCTTCCTCACCAATGGGAATGTCATAATCCTTACCTTTTGTCTCCCTCTTGGGAAGCCTCTTAGAAAATCCTCAGCCTCTCCACCTGGCATCCACCAGAAAGGCCCCAAATTTATTTGCTTTTGTAATCAAATCTGGCCTCAATATCCCTTATATAACCAATCCAAATGTGGCTGATTAGCAGCACACATTTAGGTCTAGAGGTCTAGATTTCAATATTAATCTGGACCTTTACAAATACTGCAAGTGATTGAGGCAGTGTGAAGGAAGAGGTTCCCTATTCCCTATTTCTTAGCTCTAAGCCTGGTTTGTTTTTGTCTGGTTTTCCCCCAACCCCCACACTGTGTAAATGTCCTATCTTTAAGTTACCACTGATGGATCCATAAGTTTGTTGCAGAGTACAGTCTGAGCCCGACCTAGCAGGAGGAGCAGAAAGCAAAGGAGTAGGCCAGCCCCAGCATGCACATGCTCCTTGCTTGCTGCTGGTCTCTCTGCGTCCCCCTGTAGAGTCCTCTACCAAGGTATGTAAGGATCACTTGTTTCTGCTGGCTTCTGCCACCCACAGAATTTGATTCCAAATCCTAGAGTCTGATTCCTTAGCTGTTGCTTTCCTTTACCTGCTTTCTAACCATTTGTTTCTTGTCTCTCTGGGCTCTGGACTGCTATGCCCTCCACATGGGCACCCACATATCTATCTCCCTGGCACCTGTAGCCTGCCTGCTATGCCTCTGGCCTGCTACACCCATGTAGACACCTTCTCCTGCTACCTGATCTATCACTTTGTGCTTTTCTGGGACTGCACATTGTGAGTTTCCTTGTTTCCCACTAGGAGCTTCCTGCTAAGTCCTGCAGCCTCCTGCAACATTGTCCCCCTGTCTCTCAGCTCCCCCTGGAAGTCCTGCAGCTTCTCTACACCTGGGTGGAGCTTCTACTTATCCCTCCGTGTCCCTTAACTATTCCTTTCCTTGTCTATGTCATAAGTGTCACTGGCTCCTAGAGCCTGCTATGACTTTCTACTTGTCTCTCTTGGCTCTGAGCTACTACATCCTCTGGGTCTCTCTACCAAAGACACTTACAGGTTCCCCTTCCCCTGCTCTCTCCATCTCTCAGCTTCCACCTGTGGTCCTGTGCAGCTTCTGCTCCCTCAACTCCCCCACAGAGCGTATAGAAATTCCCCCACAGAGCGTATAGAAATTCCCCCACAGAGCGTATAGAAATTCCCCCACAGAGCGTATAGAAATTCCCCCACAGAGCGTA